TGGGAGGGAGCAAAAACGTGGACTGTCTGGCAGGGAGCTGGGAGGGAGCAAAAACGTGGACTGTCTGGCAGGGAGCTTGGAGGGAGCAAAAACGTGGACTGTCTGGCAGGGAGCTGGGAGGGAGCAAAAACGTGGATTGTCTGGCTGGGAGTTGGGAGGGAGCAAAAACGTGGACTGTCTGGCAGGGAGCTGGGAGGGAGCGAAAATGAGGACCATCAGGCTGCGTCAGAGTCCACAGAAGCTGGTGTCACACTGGAAGTTTTGACCACACTCAAGCTCAGAGGAAATTCTCTGTCCTTAATATTTCCAGTTCAAGCCCCAAAAGGAAACAACTCTTGAGCTAAACATCTGAGGGGCTTCAATACAAAACTAGGGGTTTCATTTAAAGCATGAGCCCAGACAATAGCGAATGAACAACAAAAATAATCTCCAGCAGTCAGCAGTGTTCCAGATATTGGCTGGTTTGTGGATCCCTACATTCTCCCCACAGGTAGGGGAGCGTCCACGGCACAAAATTCTTAAGTAAGCCAAGAAAAAAAAAGACCTGAGATCTGAGGTTTATTTTTTCAGCAATTTAATCAAAACCTTTGATGCAAAGACGCTGTGTGGTTACCATGGAAACACACAACCGTGAAGGTAGTGATAAGGCTTTAACAGCTGAGGGGACAGCAGAGAGGAACTGCTGTGCGGTCTGCTGGACAGAGCCTCCTCGATCATGGCGACGATGTCAGGCCCCATGCAGTGCTACGGCCTCCTCAATCACACAAACTCATCACAGGAGGCTTGATACACAGAAACGATGACCTGGATCCGAGTGCTACTGCCGAGATGAGACAGGCAGCTCTGTGACATTTCACCTAAATGTTTCTCCCTTTCGCCAGTTTCCTGTCTGGCTACTGTAAACACTCTGTGCTCTATCCCACGGACAAAACACAGCTTCCAAAAAAAGAACAGTTCACAGTTCAAAAAAGAAGCAAGGTCAAGCTCAGCTATCTCCTCCCCCCAGTTCGTTATTAAAAACTTCCAGTTGACAGCGAGCTTATTTTTTCCATGGACACCTGAGCCCAGCCAAGCGTCTGACGGCTCGCCACCATTCCGAGAGCGACTCGGGCAGCCGGGGGACGGGCCGGGCTCCTAGACAGGACACAGAAAGGCAGGAACACGCGCACCGCCGTGAACGATAATGAGCAGCCGCTTCCTGCGGGGTGTTTAGCGGCTCGGCCAAGGGCCCCCGCTGCCGGGGCCCACAGCCTGCCATTTCACACCAGAACTCCACTCCCGGGACCGCCACCCACAGCGGTTCTGTGAATCCAGGTCCGTAACCACCACTATCTTACAACACAGCCAGCTGACCAGAAAGAACAATAAAACACAGCATAATATAACAAAAATGCAACAGTCTGCTACATCGTAACACATCTTAGCTGGGAGTGTGCAAAGTCTCCAGTGACCACACCACCACTGAGAAATTCATAAGCCGTACTTACTACCAAAGGCAAAGTCAAAACTTAACTTCATCTGCTATGGATTGAGGAGCATTTTCAACACAACTTATCAGGTACCAGCTTAAACATAAAATTCATTTACAGGTAAAAGAAAAACCTAGACGGTACTGATTGAGGTCAGTTCTTGGGTGCTCCATACGTCAGAGATTACATCATTGCTACAGGAGCTTTTGCTTGCAGACGGTAAGAATAGGTCCAGTCTTCCTGAGGACTCATATCACAGGGGAACCACATGGAGACACTGATTTATATGGAGGGACCTCTAAAGGTGTCGAGCCGAGAGAGGAGGACAAAATAAGGAAATACGGCAAACAAATCATACAGGTTATGATAATACAATGACATGGCAGCCTCCGTGCACAGGTAATGTGTGTCCCCATCTGCATACGGCTCTGTACATGTAGGCATGCAACAGCATCCTGCAGTACCAGGATGGGATACAACGCATATATGGTTACACACACACACACACACACGCACACGCACACGCACACGTAAGGTAAACCTATCCTTATGGGGACCGCTCATTCATTTCAATGGGAAAAATGCTAACGCTAACTATGACAACCTTAACCCCTACCCTGCCCTAACCATAACCATAAGAAGCCTAACAGAATACAAGAGTTTTTGTATTTTTAGTTTTTTCATAGCAGTCACCGAATTTTATAAAATAGAGTTTTCCCTTATGGGGACCAGGAAACCGGTCCCCATAAGGGAAAAAAAACGGATCCATATTTATCACGTTATGGGGACATTGTGTCCCCATAAGGATAGGTAAACCCGCTTGCGCACGCACGCACACACACACACACACACATAAAACTGCTGGCTGAGGAGTAAATCGCCATCAAATCATCCAGTTCCTTTTTTCACACTGATATACGAGTTCATTTACTTTCTGCTCGGTCATGTATATCCGCTATTCCACTGCTAACAATAGATTTTTCTTTTTGGGGGTTTTACAAATGCAGCCAACAAGTCCAGGTCAGAAAAGGAGTTTGTGTGTATGGCTCAGGTCTTACACACCCTCACAGGGGCAGAGCGATCTCCCAGCAGCCTGCAGGGCCTGCATCTACAGAGAAACCTACCAAGTCATAAACTACACAAAATTCAACAAAACGAAGACAGCGGACAGACATGCTGCTGCCTTAGTAGGAATCAAAGTTAACTGTGTCTGTCCTGTGAGCCTGACTGGACTCTCCACCATCATACTGCCAAATCACTCAGTTTCTGAGGAGATTTAATTTCAGACTCATAACTTCCAAAAAAAGAACATACTGTATAGTTAATCCATGTTGGCAAATCTCCCCCGGAACCCTGCATTACTTTGGACATATCTTTGATTTTGACAGCTGGTAATTTATAATGTTATGATGGTAAACAAACCTCCAAAACAAAACACCTTTAATTTAAAACAAAAACAGAAAGAGAAAATGATTCTTTTCACCCCAATTAGATTCAGGCTGAGCGGGGGGCAGACCCACATCAACATGAAACATTCAATATTCCCTTTTCTTTTAATTTAAATTGGAAAACCCATCACCATAAAAACTCCAAATGCTAGTCCTATATATAGCACAGTTAGCTGTTAACATGAAAAGAGAGACTGCATTTACAAATAGGGCCCAATGTCATCGGAAACGTCTGTGCATTATGACACGTCTGTTTTTAATGGAGTTATTTAAATTTATTTCAAACTTTTACAAATTTGGTCTACACGAATTACGGTATCATGTCGCTGTTAGCTACCCCAATTTTGTGTGGATTATTTACCAGTTTAACAAGCTTATAAATGAATGGATTAATGGATTTTGCTACTGACACGTACATACTAGTGACTAGAATGTCCTTCTGCACCTGTTTCTGTTTCATATTTGTTTTTCTTTTGTAACATTTTTTCTCCACTAAAGAAGCATTTCCGTGGCATCTAAACTGTATGCCAGGTTTCTAAAAGTGTCATCTTGAGGAACTGGCTCTTAACCAAATACGGTTTCAAGGCATTTTCCCCAAACAGTACTCCCAGTATATTACACCCAGGCCAATAATGGAGGTTTCACTTAGATTCAATTTAAAACCGGGAATGTTTGCTATTCCGGAGTGACAGACAGGCTCCGCATTCCGCTGCATCTGCTAACGTGTCCTTAGCCACGTGCTGCTGCATTAACGGGCACTTTTACTCCCAGAACGTGCCAGTCCGCCACGGCTTAGCGGACCGCGAGACCGAAACACTAGAGCGTGCCGCCGCAGCGGGCTCGCGGGGCTAGACACCGAGCTAGCACAATGCTACCGCGCGAACACCGCTTACATCACTGCATGCTATTGTTAATAGTAACCGTTATCCTTTCCAGCGCAAGGCAAACGCATACGGACTTCGCTTACCCGGTCGCGGAGCTCCTTTAAAAGTCGTTTTCGCTTAACCTCACACTGGTGGGCGCCGCCGCTCAGTCTCCGCCGAGGTTCTCCGGGCGGAAGTTGAACCGCGCGCACAGATAAGAGAGCTCGCGCTGCCAGCTGCTGCAGCTGTCACTGCCCAGTGCAGTGCGCTTCCCCTCGGACGCCGCTCGCCGGCCAGCTTCATTGCATGACCTGCCCTCTTCGCCTGTGCCCTTCTTACATGCATAGGCAAAAAAGTAATCATTTGTGTTTGCAGTAATAACGTCACGGGGTTTTGCGCTGGTAACATGCGCAATTCCCTAATTGCACACTTCGCAAAATGGGGCAATCCCAACACTCTTCTGAAGTATTTTTTTTTCCTATATGAAGATTTAGTAACTGACGCGTGAAACTAGTTTTAATGGATTGCATTGCGGCTAAATCTCTCAGATTATTCCAACCATTTAGGCTAAATTTGCGGTTTCTTGTGAAGGTATACTGTATTTACAAAATGGAATTCATAGAATTTCCCAAAAAGAACCGCGTAACCTACAGTGGTGTTTCAATTGGGCCCTTCGCTACTAAACTCGCCAATAAAATATCTGTAGAAAAAGCATTACGTGATTGTTTGTTTTTCTGTATCACAAGAACTGGCTTGTTGGTTTAGGTCATAAGTTGTAGCAGTTCCAGTCCAACCAGTCCGTGCTAATTGAACAAAATGATTACGTCTGTAGGCATAAACAGGAATTGCAAATGTGGAAACTCAATTTAAAATTTTTGCATATATTCACCCGGCTTAAATAGATCCTTCGAAAAGCTGAATTGGTTGGTTTTTTAAATGATAACGTTACTGTTACAGATCTACTGAGACAAGTTTATCAGTCCACATAAGCTTCATGTTTTACCGTTACTGGGTTTAACCTGAGTTTCGATGCTATTGTTGTATTGTGTTGAATAAGCTGTGCCTAATAACATTTAGTCATGGGCATAATTGCTTATGATAACTTTTTTAAAAATGATTTGCAACTTCAGTAACTTTCTTTGATCATATTCGGCCGTTTGGCCGAACTGGCATTTCGAACTTTTCACTGGTTACTTTAATGATCGCTTCTTTGCACGTCTAAAATTTAGCAGTTGAAGAAAACACACGAGCACGTTTTGTTGTGGAATAGCGCCCCCTGGCGGCTGACTGCATACTGGAAGCTTAACGTGGGCCGTCAGAGAAGCATCATTCGAAGACTAATACATACTCAGACGTTTACAAATACAGCTTTACGCGCGCATTCTTCGCGCCATAGATGCAATTGCCTTCGAGTTCGTACAAATCTTTATCATTTTTCTATACGAGGAAAAGTAATTCAGCATACGGGACGGACCACATCCAATTCATTGCGCAACATACAGGCTTCGAATTCTCGCAATTATCATAAGACTGTTCAGTTTTTAACATTGTTTGTAAAATCTACTTCGGCCACCTGTTGTGATTCGCGACATACCAGACAACGGAATATAGTGCTTAACAATCACCACGTAAAATGTGGTAGAATACAGTGATTAAAGGGGGAAAAAACACATAGACAACGTTCGTGCTTTTTACACGTTGTATTTTATCAGTTTCGTACAGTTTTGTTAGCTGCTCCACTAAATACAAATCGCATACGAATAAATTCGAAAGAATCGCCAGCCGAATACTGGAATAAAAAATAAAAAAAATCATAAAAATTAAATAAAAACATATACCTTATTTTCCCCTCAGAAGCTTCCCTGTCCTATATATAAAATAAATATCGGCAGGTATTTATGAGGACATTTAAAATATATTGTATTTATGAACGTGCCCTTTATTACTGATACATTTTGAAGCGCACTAGTGTATACACGGTACCGGGACAGGCACAAGACAGCACCTGAAGTTATGGAGGAAAAAAATGTACTTCCTTCCTTGGACGATATGTGTCATCTGACAGTCTAAGTCCAAAAACGATTGGAATTTCACTGTAAATAGTGTCTCTAATCATTCTGACTGGTAAAGGCTAGTCAAACTCAACCGTACAGTAATCCTTAGGCTCCATTTCAACTGTAAAAATTAAAATGATCTTAATTACATCTGACATTTGTTATGAACTCCTGTAAAGCAATAAATTGCAAGAATGAACAGCACACTTGTCACTTTCCTCTCTTCCTATTGGACAGTTTTCATGTTTGGCTTAAATTATCCAGCTATCTGGGAAATCCTACTTCGTGGAACACACCTGTTACAGCCTGGATTTAAAAATTATTTTAACTACACATCTAACCGCTCATCCTGAGCAGGGTCTCAGGGGTGGCATAGGGTGCAAAATGGGGGGTACATTCAGGATGGGATGCCAGTCCAGTGCAGGGCACCTACACGCACCATCATACACACTACGGCAACAGAACATTTAGCCTAACTGTACATCTTTGACCTGCGGAAGGAAACTGGCACACCCAGAATCAAACAACATGACATGGACGGAAAATGCAAACTACACACACACAGCACAGGCGAGATTCGTCCCCGAAACTCCAGAGGTGAGGGAACAGTGTTACTGATTCAACCCCACGCCTGCAGCATAAAAAAAATTGGCAATCCTTGTGATTTTACTGCTGACAAAAAATAAATTGTGTTACTCATACTTTCGATTATTACTTGCATGAGCAACTATTGAGAAAAAAAAGAATTCTTAAAAACAAACCTGAAAAGAGGGGAAATTAGAAAGTTTCCAGCTATTGCCTTTGGGCTATTTAAAGGACTCTTGCTGCCTCTCGAGTGACCTTACAGTGTTCTCCTTCCTCTTTCCCAGGTCCAGCATGCATGCACAGGCAACTTGGAATTTGCATCACACACAGCAAGCGTAGAGTAGCACACAGATTTAGGGGAAGTAAGGGCCACCTTGCCAGCAACAGAAGTTGTAAATACTGCAGAACTTCTCTAAGCAGCACATCGGAACCAGTGTTTCGTTTAATAAATTAGAGCTGAGGAACAAAAATGATAAATTATACACAGGCAAACATGAGCCACAGTAAGAAAGAGTCAAGGTGAGTCACAGCTGTGGTAGACTTCCAGGGGGTGCCAGTATGATCGCAAACACGTAGAAGAGACCCATTAAGAGGTTCAGTTTTGCGGTCTTCTGGGGGATCTTTGAGTAGCACTGACCACGGAACAGCTTCTCCAGCGGGAAGGCCATGGGCAGCGTGAGCAGTGGCAGCGCCATGCTGATGGTGTACCTCGTTGCCAGGAAGCAGAAGAGCACGTAGGGGACGAAGAGCAGCAGGTTGAAGAGCACGTAGGAGAGGGCAGGCCCGATGAGGATGGCCAGCGTGACGATGCCCGCCTGCCGGTCCGACTCCATGTCCCTGGTATTGTTGCTATGCAGGATGGCCTCTGTGTTGAGCGCCAGCGGCACGGCGTAGACCAGCGGCAGCGCTGACAGGTAGCCCACCTGCACCGCGTGTGCGAACATGACTGCCAGGGGGCCGAAGGTGATCAGAATCACCACGTCGCCCAGCGCCACGTATTTCAGTCCGATGCCTGCAGGAGGAGATGGGGGGGGGGAGACGTCACATACGCACATAAACACGGAGCAATAGTTTTAAAAAACGTCATTTTCTTATTCAGCAGTCGCTTTTATTCAAAGCGACAGACAACTGAGAAAGTCACACAAGAGACTGAGGCAACTAGGGATAATGGTCTTAGCTAATGGGCCCAATGGGGGAATCTCTCTGCCAGCCACAGGATCTGAACCAGCGACCTTCTGATCGCGGGCATCAGTCCTAACTCACACCTAATACACACACCGCCCTATCTATGATGACGTCATTCTTCCTCAGCCGAACGTTTATAAGTTGGTACGACGGACAACAAGCACAGAAATATGGGACAACGGAAAGCTACACAGAAGGTGGAAGAATTACACAAAATACAATGTGGGCGGGGACACGGATTTGGAAGAGTCAGAAGGGGCACCTCCAGTGTAAAGGAAGGAGCCAGAGAGCCCTCCGAAGTAGACGAGCGCGAGGTGCTCCAGCTTCAACGTGGAGAGAAAGTAGAGCAAGGTGGCACACAGGCACCCGACGGAGTACAGCACCGCTCCAAACATCACCACGTCCTGGGGCTCTAGAATCTGGTCCACCAGAGTCCTGTCGTCACTCTTCTTGTGGTCGATGCCCTTGGAGAAGTCGTAGTAAGTGTTTACTAGGTTGCCCGCCCCGTGCACCACCAGCACGGCCACGGCACACACCATGAACACCAAGAGGTCCACGGTGCCCTCGGATTTGTAAGCCAACGCGCTGCCCAGCGCTACGGGTGTCAGCGAGGCGCTGAAGCTCCAGGGTCGCAGAGCCAGAACGTAGGCGGCACACTTGGACTTCACACCCATTGCCATCCGGCCGACTCCAGAGCTCGGCTCCACCAGATCGCGGGATAACCCGCCTGTACCCAAATCCTCCACTGCCACACCATGTCCGTTTGAGCCTGCCAACACAAACGTCTCTGCAAAGCCCGCTTTGGGCCCCTCAGCCATGCCTCTGCCAGGAGACCAAAGGTCTACGAGTCTCTGCAAAGGTACTGGAGAATGAAGGAGAATGTGGCTGAAACAGAAAACACAGAACGGCAACTTTAGTTGATTTTTATCCTGTTGAAATGAAACAAGTCAATCGCTGAATTTACTCATGGAATTCATATGTGGCAGGGGTTTTCAACCTATCGCAAAAGCTACTTACGCAACGAGAAAAACATTTAACACAAAGGTGTGGGTTTGGTTTCATTGGTAGAAAAGAAATCAGCCCCGAACCAGCACCACCCCATACTCTTATCTACCCCCTTGATTCTAGATCACACCTTATGGAATTGAGAATTAATGACAGGAGGGTCCCTGATTCGGGGCCGTGTCCATTTGGTGGGTCCCTGCTTTAAGTAAGTGCGAAACCCACAACTGACGAAGAATAAAAAGTGCAGAAAATTGCTCGGATGAGAAATCCCTCTCTGTAAATAGGCAGAGCAATTTACAGCTCATCATATAATAATTAAGTCACACTGCACAGAGTGTAATCATGATTTAAATACAGCCGTATCATTTGGAAGACATGCTGTTTGATACGGAAGGAGAAATGGGAATGTCGGATGGGAAGCGAATCCTAATCAAAAATATTTAAGACGCACCGATAGACTTGCATGACAGCAGGACTAACCGGGTCTTCTTCAGTCCTCCACTACACAGATTATGTAGTGATTATGGAAGATTATCTAGAGTAACAAACTGTGCTACTGCTACCTTGCTAATCTCTTTTCAGAGACGGAACCGAATACAAAATTTAGAGACTTACCTATTTTACCGTCACCGTAAATGGTGTGTTTTATACAACGTGGCAAAACATCCGTGTTTTAACATGGCCGTTATTAAGGCACTGGACCCGCTTGAAGTTCACCAGCAGACTCATCACGCATCGATCCCGAGTGGCCACGCCGCTTCTTCCGGCCTCTCGGTGTAACAGTCCCTGAGTCCGAAGGACAAATGTCGCTCTTTCATTTAGTTCCGCATACTCTTATTTAAGGTAACCATGTTCAAATGCCACCAGTGCGTATATATAACCTAAAGTTTCACAAAAGATATGTATGCCACGCTATTTTAAAAAATGACATTCAATAGCAAGCTAGGAGGAACGGATTTGGATGAACACATGAACATCTTAATTTGAAACAATTATATGTACATGCATAAATTCATAAAATCGAAATTCCATCGTGGAAAAGATTTTATTACAAGCATGGAGTGCTACTGTTGGCTTGGTTCAGAATCCTATGCATTTTACTTATTTACTTTTTATGTTTAGCATATGCTTACAGATAATACAATCTATAACATCTAACAACATATGAGCGTAATTAAATATGTCCTTTTTGTCACAAATAAAGTCCAACAGTCCATCCTGTTCTTGTGCTCAGATATTTTTTGAAGATGTTGATCTTCTGGAAATTAGTAATTGAGGCAAAGTGTCTTTAAATATCCATCCAACCTCCTCTGCTCATTCGGGTCCTGGTTGCGAGGACAGCAGTTGAGTAGAGATGCCTAGACCTCCTTCTCCTCAGCCACCTCTTCCAAGTCCTCTAGAGGGATACCAAGGCATTTCCAGGGCAGCCAGAAGACAATCTCTCCAGCCCCACAACATCTAAATCTTTCAGGAACTCGGGGCAAAACATTTTACATTTCCACTGGGCCCTTGAAAGACCCCCAACATACCCCCCCCTTCCCCCCAAAGTGCTCCAGGGGCATCAGATAAATGTTCTGGCCCTGAGGTCAGACCCCAGCTTTGCTCTCAGTTGTTTGTATGTGTAGATGTCTGAAAAGAGAGCGTGATGGGATATGTAAAGCAAGGCATTCTGATGTACTGGTGGAAATGGCAGATAGAGATCATTTCATCCATGGTGTACAAGATCAGAGCATTCACAATAAAGAAAACCGACTTTAAAAGGAGGGGGCTTTGACAAGCAGTTTGCATGTTCTCCATGCGTCGAGTCCACGTGTGGACTTTGCGTGTTCTTCCCACGTCAAGTCCGTGTTTGTGGAGTTTGCCTGTTCTCCATGCGTCGAGTCCACATGCGTGGACTTTGCCTGTTCTCCATGCGTCGAGTCCACATGCGTGGAGTTTGCCTGTTCTCCATGCGTCGAGTCCACATGCGTGGAGTTTGCCTGTTCTCCATGCGTCGAGTCCACATGCGTGGAATTTGCCTGTTCTCCATGCGTCGAGTCCACATGCGTGGAGTTTGCCTGTTCCCTGGTTCCCACCCTGGGTTCCCTGCCTTGTGCCCATAGGCTCCAGTCACCCATGACCCTGAACAGGACACCTGGTTACAGAAAATGGGTTAATGGTAATTTATATATATAAATATATACACACACACTGAGTGTGTGTATATATTTCATGGTCAGTGACAAAAAAGTTAAGCACCCAGAAGTAATGATCTGATATGGACGCAATTTGGAACACATGCAGACCAGTGATGGGTATGTATATTATTCGAATTCCAAGGAGCTGGCATGTCTAGTCACCTGACACAGAGGATGCCTCACAGATGGAACAGACAGCATTACCAGCACTTGACGGAGTTTGATAGGCGTCACATTGTGGTTTTGCATGAGGCCGGCTGGTCGTATTGTGCAATTGCCCAACATGTGGGGCATCCAGAAATCACAGTCACCCAAAGTTGGAACCAATGGGCCTGTCAAGGTACCTAGACATGTCATGAAGGTTCCGGTCACCCAAGACAGACCACACCAAGGGAGGATTGTTGTATTGTGCGCCAAGCTTTATAAAACCCCATGACATCTGCACCTGCCATCCGGACACAGGTATTAGACTCTCTACAACACCCCATGTCATCCTGCACCGTGTCTTGACGACTGGCATCAGCTGGACTACAGGTTCATTGTCCCATGTGAAGGCTGCCGTTAACACCAGTGCAGAGACGGCTGTGTTTGGAGTGGTAACTGGGAAGCATGGACTGGTGATGAAAGGCATCATTCCATGTTCAGTGATGAATCTCGGTTCAGCATTGCCACAGATGAACGTCGTGTGCGCGTATGGCGGTGCTGAAGGGAGAGGACCAATCCTGTCAAAGTTGTGGAGAGAAACTCAGCGTTACTCCTGGCATCATGGTGAGGGGAGCCATAGGGTATGACATCATGGTGTGGGGAGCCATAGGGTATGACATCATGGTGTGGGGAGCCATAGGGTATGACATCATGGTGAGGGGAGCCATAGGGTATGACATCATGGTGAGGGGAGCCATAGGGGTATGACATCATGGTGAAGGGAGCCATAGGGTATGACATCATGGTGTGGGGAGCCATAGGGTATGACATCATGGTGAAGGGAGCCATAGGGTATGACTTCAGGTCATCTCTGGTAGTGATTCGAAGGACCCTGACAGCACAGCGCTACATCAGTGACGTCCTGCGTCCGCATGTCTTACGCCACCAGAGACAGCACCCTGGTACAGTCTGCAGGATCTCAAGGGCCAGTTACAACAGCTGTGGGAGAGGATACAATGGCTGCACGGTTCCCTTCCGCACTGTATTGCTGCACATATCCAGGCCTGGGGGGGTGCCACACCCTACTGACCTGGGACCAGCAGTGTGCCCACACTGCCAACTCTGTTATCCGTTTGATCTGATATTATAATCATTGTGATACAGTCACATGACCTTTCACCACGTGCAGATTCATTTCAATTCCACCACTCCACCTGGGTGCTTAACTTTTTTTGTCACTGAGTGTGTGTATGTGTGTGTGTGTATCTGTGTGTGTGTGTGTGTGTCTGTGTATCTGTGTGTGTGTGTGTGTGTGTGTGTCTGTGTTCGTGTGTGTGTCTGTGTATCTGTGTGTGTGTGTGTGTATGTGTGTCTGTGTTCGTGTGTGTGTCTGTGTATCTGTGTGTGTGTGTGTGTGTGTGTGTATACAAAGCGGCATGACAGACTGAACAATTCTGCATGTATTTCACTCTAGAGGAGACGTGTAGTCAGCAGAATAGCGTCCCCCTAAGTTATAGAAGCTTTCAAAGTACAGACACAGGCAGAACATTGCAGCTCTGTTTAGAGCCAGAGCCAGACTCCAGCCTGTGACCTTGGGCCTGTGAGCTAACATACACGGTCAGTTGTCATGCTGTTCATTCTAGCAGTTACATTTGCTTAATGCTCATAAAAATATTACAATGCAATGCATGTAAACTGTCCTGAAATAATTCATGACTATTCAACATTATCAACAACAGATTTCAGATACCATATTCAAAATTTTTATGAGCTTATGCTTTTAGTGTCCTATTAGTTTTGCACCCTTATTCGGTTATACAACTTTACACTTTTATTTAAGTACTTAGAATAAAATGTTTTCTGCTACTTTTTGTACAGGGACTTGAGCAAACAATCGGTTTTCAGCGTCAAATCAGCATCTGCTCATAAATTCTTATCGCAGCGTATTCAAACAATCTCTAAACCTTGCACGACAATATTTAAATTAAACTGTGCCCTATTTGATCTTGAATGTTTACAAAGTATGCATGCAAAACACGGGCAACAATTGCAGTCCTTCACTTCTGCACCGTATTATATAAAGAACCACCTGCCCTTTCCATTGGTTATTTTAACACTGTCAAGGTCCCTTATTTACTTTTTTAGTTATAGCTTGACACACGTCAAATATTTAAACAACGCTGGGGTGAATACATAACTGCGCTTTGACCACCTTGGTGGAGATCGCTTATGCCTCTTTAATTCATCAGTCAAAATGTATTTGTCTGTACTCCGCACTGTACTTCATATATTGTCACCGAGTGTGATCGAAGAGACGCAAAGCAGAGTGAGATTTGCACATGGAAAAAAAATCTCCTGTCTCAGTACAGTCCTACGGCTTTTAGTACCGCAAATTTTGCATCTTCAAATATATGTCTGAAACGAGATAATCGAATACTGTCCCATAAATCTCATATATACTTATCTATATCAGAATGTGTTCACTATTCAAATATAAATTTTAGACCGAAAAGCAGAATCAGTCAGGGCTCACAAAGCGCCCGACTGGTTTCCTTTTCTACTTAAAATTGTCGGGATCTGACCTCCATTTATAGTAATGTGATACCGTTTGGCCGTCTCTGCAGTGTAAAGCCGCAGCCTAAAGTTTGCGGAAAAAGGGGAAACGGTGTGGGCAGCGAACTTGAAAGATCTTTTCAGGCTCGGCTGGGAACTGATGCAGTTCCTCCTGCAGAAAAAGTCAAATTCAGTAAGAGCATAAACATATTCGAGGAAAAATAAATGGTGGTTCAACTGTTTCGCTTGTCCCTTTCGAGAGGAAATAATCTAGACGTGGAACTAAAGCGATGGAATACCAGACCTTGAGAAGTCAGCGACACGGCTGCTGCGCTCCTTTAGTCCTTATGGTGTCGGTGATCAGTGTATTTTTCGCGGGGATGCAAGAAACTGCAGCATTTACCACTTGGACCATGGAGGTAGGGTGTGCTAATTTCGACGCAGTGGGAGAGATGTCATCAACTTTATTAGAACGAAAATAAACGTGACGTGAAAGTTTTCCGCAATTTACATAATAACACAAACAGCATTGCATGTGATAGACTCTCTGTTTTTTAAAACTAGGAATATAAAATAAAAAGAAAAATTATGGTTGTATAATATCTTCCCATTATTATGTCCAACGTAATTTCGTCTCTGAATCAGCAACCTAAGTAACCCCCCCCCCCCCCCCGGCCCAAAATAGGCGCTCTGCGAACTGCTAGTTCGCCTTTATCAGCACATTAACGGTACATCCAAGTTAGAATAAAAGTATTTCGCTTAGATTTCTGCAAGCATCTTACTGGTGCTCACTCCGTGAAACGTCATTCTTTGTAACGAAAACTTTTTTAAAGAAATTTTATTTCTTGATCATTTTACACATAACACGCATTTTTGTCCATTTACAATGTTGTTTTTGGAGTGATGCCTATTTTAAGGATTTGTCTTAAAAGGGACTATGTATGACCTGAAAAGAAATTGTGCATAACCACCATTCAGCTGTTTGCGACTGGTTATTTAAGCAAACGTAGTATCAGGGCACCCTGGTTATGATATAAGCTGTTAAATTATTTTTAAAATATAAGAATGCATGAAAAAATGGCTAGATGATGTGGAGTCATTGGATGCTCTATGACCCACAGCCTTTGTGGCTTTGGTAGGCCAAGGGTTTGTGTGGGTCTTCTGCATGGATCATGGAGGTTAGAGAAATGTCTACCAAGGCGATACTTAAGGGCAATTAGGGAAGATAAATACTTTGTGTAATTATGCACAAGTTTGGCACATGTACAGCTTTAAATAATTATGCTGTGTTGACGCCTAATGACCATATAGACGTCAGAATGGCTTCTGTTTGGGTCTTCAGTTTCCCAGCTGCATGTTCATTTGTTGTGATGATTGATGGTTGTCCTCTTTGTCTCTTGACCTGCCCTTTGCCAGATACTGGAGTCTTCTCTAATGGGCTTCAAGTGGAACTTGATTGAAACGACGATTCACTTGTTTGCTTTTCTCAAGGTTCACGGCATTCAGAAGACTCCTCTCAGCTATTGGTTAAGACCTCAATACTCACCTGACCTGCTTCTTCATTCTCTAACATTCACATCCAAAAGGAGTCTTAGGAAACGGAATATTCTGAAAAATTTCCAGCTTCGTTCTCAGTGGCTGGTCATTCATGTTAAAGCTGTTTCCTGGGCATGTTGGTGTGCAGCTCTGCCAAATGCCAGACTGGCATGTATTTCTTGTTTATCCACCATTAGGCACCATTGCGCCCGTAGCTTCCGGGATGGGCTCCGGACCCCCGCAGGTCAGAAAGGGACAAGTGGGTACAGAAAATGGATGGATGGATGGACATCAGCACTGTGGTCATAACTTTGCGTTCTTCAAATGTAGCCCAAGTTCCATCATTGTATTTATCCGTGTTTAACTCCATCAACCTGTAACTTGGACAGTTTTATCATATTCTGTTCTCACTGTGGCTTCTTGTGCAGCGTGGAGTTTCTCCCTAAGCACAGTGAGATGCTCTGACATACCAGCTTTTTCTGAGAATATTATATAGTTAGACATGGTCGTCCCAATGAAAGGCATTTTTCTAATCAATAAAGACCATGTTGAGCTGTGATTTTCTCATTATCCACTGTACATTAACAATGATGTCTCTTGTTCATCTGGCATAAATGACCATAAATTGGTATGTGATATGAGGGAAATTATATGATACACACTCTGTCAGGTCTCCTTTCTGTGGTATTGGAATATAACGCAGGCTCTTCCAATCTATAGGTCATTATGTTCTTGGCATAATTTAGTCTATATATCCCTGACCTCCTCCAGTAAGGTCCTTCCATGTAGATCCTTTCATTAAATATATATCGTGATTGTTGTTTTTGTTATATAAATCTTTTGTGTATTTCTTCTATCTGTGCCTAATATGCATTCTGACAGTTACTGCTTGGTCAGTCATGTCCATAAAGCTGTTATAGTAGACTTTTAATCTCATAGATCTTTGGAAAAAAATATTTTTTTCATGTTTATTTCCTTCTTTGGTATCTTTACAGGTGTTGTTGTAATATTGGCCTTTGTCATTCTTGATAGCTTTCAGAAAATCCCAATTTCCTATTTCTACGAGATCTATATCTTTCCCGATTTCGGCTCCAAGTTTGATTCTCTTCTTCACCGCCTCCCCTGTTCCCTCCGTCACACAATTTGATTTATCAGTCTCGCTGATCTTGATCAGTACTTTCGCAGATTCCTCTTGTATGACATCTTTGAATTCCATTCACAGTTCCTTTGTTCTTCATCAGCTGGGTCCAGCATTTGGAATCAGCCTCTGAGAATGATGTTATCCTTGAAGGAAATGACTCTACTCTCCAGGTCTTTTCTGGAAGTCACATTACTTTCATTGCTCTTTTCCCAAAAGATATGAGTCTAAAGGTGCTCCTTGTTGGTCGTGGGGGACTCTGCAGATGTAGATGATGATGAAGGCTATGACTGAAGCCAAGGTTTGTGAGGTCCAGCCTAACAATGCTGCCTTCTCTCTGTTCTTGGGTGGCTTGATATGGGAGCTCTACTGTTGCTGCTGCAGGAAGTTGTCTGTCTCACCCACAGGTCTTTTGCTTCAGCCCCAAGAATGTGTTTGGGCTCCAGTGTCTGCCAAAGCATTTTGGTCTCCCAGTAGATTGTGGAAAAAAAGGAAAACAGCAGAGTTTATAGTATGGAAGTTTCTTCTCCCGCTCAACCATATGTGCATTTTTAAGCTTGCTGTGCTTTAGTTGTATCTTATGTGAGCCCTCTCTTTGTTTTCATGGCATTCATCAAAGAGATTGCAAAGGTGACAGGTCACTCATCTGGGGGAGAAAAGAATGATGTTTATTTAATCAGGCAGGCACCATAATGAAGGATAACAGAATCTCAAGCCTCCATGGTGTCTTGTAGACTAGTAGTTCCTAACCCGTTCATTGGGGACCCCTAGACAGTCCATGTTTTTGGTCCCTCCCAGCTCCTAGTAGGCTGAGAGGGAGCAAAAATGTTGCCTGTCTGGTAGGACCTGGGGGGAAGCAAAAACATGGACTGTGTGGGGGACCCCGAGGACCGGGTTGGGAAACCCTCTTGTAGACCAGCGCCGAGACACACCCCCATGCACATCTAGGTCCCTGCATCAGCTCTGTCTTCACCTCACCATATTTGAAAATTGCCTTAATGCTTGAATTGGTCTGTTTCTGCTTGTCTGCTCTGATCTGAGTTTTTGTCTCCTAGGCAGGAGACTAATAAACTTTCCAATCCCTTGTCAGGTGCAAAGACTTGGCGTGTTCCACTAACAGTGCATGGCATTGCATGGCTGATTTGGTGCATGTTAATCATAAGATCAGTGCAGTTGGAGAGAAGCTCAGAAGATGATTCATGACTGTTCTCACCTCTTATGCTGTTGAATGTGGATGAAGCTGGATTGAAGCTGGAAACACCTTTCAGAGCTAAGGAGGGTATTTCTCTGATTTCCCCTGAGTGGATGCCCCCACACTCTAGGGCGCGAGTTGATTCTGCAGCCCCTAAATTTCCAGCTACTGAGAACTAATCCAATCTAAAGACTAATTGCTTCTCTTTCATTTATATTGATGGTGAATTCATCAGAAAGACCTCAGCCACGCGTGAGCAAGGCAGCTGTCTGAGTGTGGAGAGGTCGGCTCCTCAGTCCCCCCAGTGTGTCACCGTGCACCACAGGGGGTTTTATTTCCAAGTGGGTGACCATGGTAAAAAATGGACAGAGTTACTGGGTTGTCCGGAAGCAAAGAGCAGCGGTGTTATTTTGGGAACAGTGCTGGAGAAATGACGTCTCCCCTTCAGACCCAACTCTGAAGCATAATCGGTATGTCGACGGCACGCAGGACAACTGGGCTTGGCAGAGCAGGAAAACTCCCCCCTCGCATGAACATGAGCCGGTCCCGCAGCAGAAGACATAAGATAAGATAAAACTTTATTGATTCCAGGGGGAAATTCTTGTGCATGTGTTTTTACCGCCTTACACTGAATTATGGGTAAAGCACTCAAAAATGCAGCTCGATATTTCCAAAGGGAAGTTTCTGAGTGGCTTCAGACCCTGCCGAGTTTCAGTCGCCTTCCTCAGTAAAGCCACACAAGTCAGAAGCAGGTCTGCAGAACGTATCACATGTAACAGGCTGGACAACAGTTTTACAATAGATCAACCGCCCCCCTCCCCCCCGAATAAATAAATAAAATAGAACAGCTCACTATATTCCACATGCAGCCCCTTAATAGTATTCCTCAAAGAGTAATGAGTTGAAATCCACTTCTGTGTCTGCAGGAGTGCCCCGTGTAGGGGAAGCTTTTTATGGAGTCTGACGTGAAACAGAAAAGTAGGGGAAAAAGTTTTCAGGTGACTTCAAAAACTAAATTTAGGGTGCTGTGCTATGCCACTCTGCTAATTTAAAGTAGAAGTTTATCACTATGACAACATGCCGTGTTTATTTGGGGGGGGGGGGTGCTGTTTGTGATTTAGGGAGGTTGAAACCAGCTGTGAGCACAGTCAGGGACATAAAATTTTGCACACAAGTCTGAAACGAGTTATTCTGTTAAAAGCCCTCTTCTGTTAAGTTCTGACTCTAGGGCAGAAGAGATCACATCTCTTACCAGCCCATATGCTACCTTGCCTTTGGCTCTCGGAAAAGCACAGACGTATTTTTTTTTTTGCTCATTCATTGTATATATTTATATATATATGAAGACTTGTATTCTGGAATCTGTCATTTTCAAAACCTTTGCCTTAGGCTGCTTGTTGGAATTTACGCTGAAAACCTTTTCCAATCTGGGCTGTGTATCTAAGGTCAATCTCCTCCCTTTTTACATATTCTCTGATTTATTTGAGTAGACTGTGCATAGTTGGCGAAACGGAAAATAATTCTTGGCCTTGAATTAATTTGCATGTCTGTTTGATGATGTTTCATTGGGTTTGCTGCAGTAGCCAAAGATTAAATCTGTGACAAAATGTATCGCACATCATACGGTGGTGCCTTGTCACACATGAGTCAACTTTGAACCAAACTCGGGCCGTTACTAAGGGGGAATTCCCCAAGATCCTAACCCTCTGGGATAGGGGGAAAAAAGTGCGATGGCACAGATCTCACCGTCACAGCGGCATGTGGCCCCTGCAAAAGGCTCCTGTCATTAGCCTTCATTTTTATTTTGCCCAAGGAAGAAGCTGAGCCCACCGGCGTGTTGATGATCGGGATCGGTAAAAACCTGCATTCCCGGGTGCTGAAGCTCTCCAGGAACAAGCGCTACACCCTCACCCCAGAAAAGCTCAAGTGGGACAAATTCAAGCTGACATACAAGTAGGAGGCTTAGCACTGAGACATCCGTGGGACGGCGGGTCCTGGCTGCAGAGCTTCCGCACACGGCCTGTTCCTTTCTGTCCTCCATATTCTGAGCTTTACGGTACCCAGTCCTTATCAGACAGACTCCAATACCCTGCAGCTAACAGACAGAGGTGTCGAAAGCCAGCTTAACCACATAAGTTCAGGGGTATATTCACTGTTCCCGGGGAGTCATGTACTTCTTCATTTGCACATGGCACACTGTCGTTCTGATTTAAACCCTCTTTCTCTGCTTCCCGAGGCTGCTGTCATTTCCGAAGAACTTAATGAACGCTAGCGATACACGGAAAGCCTTTGCCAAGGCCTTCATCATGTGGAGTGACGTCTCGCCCTTCAGCTTCCGGGAGGTCCCTGCCGGCGAGGAAGCTGACATCAAGATAGGTGGGGGACCCTTTGCTGGGGGAGGGGGGAGGGGTTGGCTGGTCATAACCATGATCCCATGTATAGAAACTTGCCAGATACCTTGATTCAGTTCAATTAATTACCTAATGCTTGGGGGGGGGGGGGGTACCAATCATTCCTTACGATTGTACACTTTATTTTACGTTATCAGAACCTCTCCTGGGGCCTGTGTAGGGCGCCTTTGCAAGTTTTATTTCACCAACCAAGGCAATAACTGATGCTGTAATCTTGTCTCTCCTTTCTGGTCACTGTGGGAAACTCAAATCACATATGCAAACCATTTAAAAAAAATCATATTCATCTTCTAAGGGGAAATGAACTGGGTTTTTTTCTCTCTCTGTCTCGGTTGTTGTGAGAAAAGTGACTGTCTACTGTGGTTTTTGGAGGTCTGTGGGAATCAGTGACCTACAGAAGGCGCACGCCGAAAATATGGAAAGAATGATTCCCAGTGGGGCTGAGTTGGCTCTCGCCTCCCTTGTCTCCCCCCCCCCCTCCGTCTCTCCCTACCACCATGCTCCCTGCCAGGCTTTTACCCCATTAACCACACCGACTGCCTGCAGTCCTACCTGCACCACTGCTTCGACGGCATCACTGGAGAGCTGGCCCACGCATTCTTCCCTCCCAATGGGGAGATACACTTCGACGATGATGAGTACTGGATTCTGGGAAACATGCGGTTCAGCTGGAAGAAAGGTATGTCTGCTGGTCCCAGCCTTATAAATACAAGACCCAGTAGGGCAGTTTGGTTGACCGTTTCCATGGCGAGCTGGGCGGTGACCCTACAGTGAGCGTTTCTACCGTGTGCCCAAGGGGTGTGGCTGACAGACCTGGTCCACGTGGCGGCTCACGAGATCGGTCACGTCCTGGGCCTGATGCACTCTCTGAACCCAAACGCCATCATGCACTTGAATGCCACACTGACGGGACGAAAGCTCATCACGCAGGACGAGGTGTGGGGCCTGCATAGACTCTATGGTAGGCCAAGCTCACCAGAGCTGCAACACAATAACACACACACTATGCTCACAGACCTCCAGCATAACTCTACAGTAGTGTGAGCTCACAGAAATTCCATCACAACACTTACTCTGTAGTAGACTAAGCTTATCACACAATATTACATACGTTCATGTTAGGACAAGACATCAGTCTTCTAAATAGTACAAAACCTAGCATCCATTGTCTTTGCTGACTGTAGCCTCATGTCCATCACAAATTTTGAAAGATCCCGTCTTCTCTCACTCAGGATGTTTAGACAGACTGTTCATTTGCTCTGCTTGGGCACGGAAGGGCTATTGTGAAAGCAAGCGGAAGCTCATGCAGAAGCACTGCCCTTCCAGCTGTGATTTCTGTTACGGTAAGAGCGGCCGATGCATACCTTAGGGGAGCGTCTCCGCTTAGCGGCCTGCGGCAACAGCAGTGAAGGGGTTGTGTGAACAGCACCAGTCTATCGAGTTCGGGGAAATGTCTGCATAAAGGGAAGTCTTGTGTGCATTCCACAATGGCTTCAGAGGAATAATAAAATTAAAAAGCAGACTCTGCTGTGTGTTCTGAAATTTTCCTGGCCTGAGCAAACGAAGGGATCTTGTTATAGATCTGTACAGATTACGCTGTCAGTGTGTCTGGCCAGCCAGCTCCTGCTTCCAGGTCATTGCTTACTGACTGGGAGAGTTTGGGTTTGTTTCATTTGCAAATGTAGGTGATGGGGGGTGGAAAAGGACAGCAAGTTCAATTGCCTCACGCCTTAATCTGTCTCCTTGCCGTCCACTTAAACTTGGGTACTTTAAATCTGACAAGTTATCCAGCTAAGCCAGAAATCTGGCTTTGTGATACAGGCCCACCCTCTGGATTTGTAGTATGTTGTCGGTATATTAGTTACTGAACTGTTTATAAAAACACATGAGGTCAGTTCACTCTTAATTTGAATTTTGTTTAGTGAGGTGACCAATACTAAACAGAAGTGAAAAGCTGACAGATTGGCCCAAAAAAAGCTTCTATAAATGCAATGTAGTCACTATATTATCAATATCTGAAGTGATAAAGCAGAGATGCATATAAGCAGATCGCATTGAAGATCAACCATGGTATTTTGAACACTAACCTCTTGAACACCCTTCCGGCACAGAGTTCCCCTTCCCCACAGTGGCTCCCACCCCCGTACCCCCCCGGACCAAACACAAGCTGGTGGCAGAGGGGAGGAAGCTCACCTTTCGCTGCGGGAAGAAAATCGCCGCAAAGAAAGGCAAAGTTTAGTGAGTATCACCAAATATCAACCCACTCCACCTCAACATCTGCTCAGCCAGAAAGCAACGCTTTCATGTTCCCGACGGTTCTGTTTGTGCGACGTGGGCCGCAACACCCTGTGTGAAGCGGCGATTAGAAGCCAGCAGGGAGTGCATGCGACTCTCCGGGACGCATTCCTGCTCGCCCGAAGCTTACTTTTCACACTGTGCTTCGTGCAGAACTGTGAAGAAGGGTTAGGGTTAGGGTTAGGGTTAGGAGGGTCAAGCCTACCTCTGCAGAGCCCAGGAAGGTGCCATGTCTCTCTCGCCCAGCCTGGCGTACAGCTCCCTAGCTTCATAGAGAAATACTATACATGCTTATGTCCTCGTCTTTCTTTTCTGTTTAAACACTATTAACATCCACTATTCAGTGGCAGCAGAATGGATTAGCAGGGTACCTAAGATGTGTAGGGTTACAGAGGACACACACACACACAGATACACACACACACGCAGACACACACACACACACACACACACGCGCACGCACACACACACACAGATACACACACACACGCACACACAGATACACACACACGCAGACACACACACAGACACACACACACGCGCACGCACACACACACGCAGACACAGACACACACACACACAGATACACACACACGCAGACACACACACAGATACACACACACACGCGCACACACACGCAGACACACACACACACACAGACACACACACAGATACACACACGCGCACGCACACACACACGCAGACACAGACACACACACACACACAGATACACACACACACGCAGACACACACAGATACACACACACGCGCATGCACACACGCACGCAGACACAGACAGACACACACACACACACAGACACACGCAGACACAGACATAGACACACACACACACACACAGACACGCACATGTAAGGTATACATATCCTTATGGGGACCGCTCATTCATTTCAATGGGAAATATGCTAACGCTAACTATGACAACCTTAACACCCACCCTGCCCTAACCATAACCATAAGTAACCTAACAAAATACAAGAGTTTTTGCATTTTTAGTTTTTTCATAGCAGTCACCGATTTTTATTAAATAGAGTTTTCCCTTATGGGGACCAGGAAACCGGTCCCCATAAGGGAAAAAAACAGATATTTATCAAGGATAGGTAAACCCGCTCGCAGACACAGACATACACACACACACACACAGACACACGGCTATCATAAAAACTTCACCTACACACTCGTATTCAGTCTGTATTTCTATTGAATATCTAGTAGAAGCGTCACCCTAACCCCGAATCCGCCCCCCCCCCCAAGCTGGTACAAAGACGGGGAGCTCCTGCAGTTCTCCCACCCAGGCTACATCTCCCTCAAGGACGACCACATCAGCATCGTGGCCAACGCCATCAACGAGGGCCTCTACACCTGTGTTGTGAGGAAGAAGAACAAGGTGCTGACTAACTACTCCTGGAGGCTACGGGTACGCTTCTGAAGAGCCCCCGACACCCCCCCACAGAGACATGGAAGCACCTGGACCCTGAGAGCAGACGGACAGCGCACACCTGGGCAGCAAAATCAAAATAAAAGAGTCATAACTTTTACTTCTTTTGTCATGTGTTGAACTAAATATCCTGATTTGCAGCGCTATCCTGAATAACCTCCCAAAAAACTAATCTTACATTATATGTACACAAATTATTATAGCAAGAACATACACTGAAGACAAAAGTTACATCTTAGGTTCAGATTTTTTGTGGTTCATAATATTTGTACCATGCAGCTCTAAACAGCAGCTCATTGACATTAATTTTAAATAAAAGAATTTAAGAATAAAAACACAGTTATAATGTGTTAAGCAATGTCATGCAATATAGCCTTTTCAGTACTCACTTTGATACTTATATTTGGGGGGGGGTGTGGAACAGATCTCAGTGGCGTGATAACGTTCCAGCTAAAACAGGATGGCGGCCAAGACCTTCCCACCTGATCAAGTCATTCAGGGTGCAGCCTCACATTTGCAGACCCAGACTGTGAAGGAGCCTGAGATTCCAAACGCACCCCCAGATCTGTACTTCATAAACATCTCACACTGAAATTCTCTCACACTGCCTTTGTACATACATATATGCCGAACATTTTTATATTCTTATAAATTCAGTGTTAGGTTAAAACCGGCAAGGGTTCCATTAAATGAACCAAAAGCATTTCATGTCATTTGTTCCACTTACAGATGCCAGAAAATAAAGGCGCATAGCAAAAGGCAGCATTTCAAGATGCCAGAGCTGGTTTGCTTAAAGTTACAAATTCCAATTTATGCTGGCTAAATCTTTACAAAAAAAATCCTTAAAATCCCTATCACAACAAAGAAAGAACACACTGTTGTTCTTTAAAAAGAAGCAAGTTGTTTCTGGATGGCGTGTGAGGACGTCAGCCTTCTGGATGGCGTGTGAGGACGTCAGCCTTCTGGATGGCGTGTGAGGACGTCAGCCTTCTGGATGGCGTGTGAGGACGTCAGCCTTCTGGATGGCGTGTGAGGACGTCAGC